GGGGGGGGGGGGCAATACAACCCTGCTTGTATTTTAGAGAGGGAAGGGGAAAAGGAAAAGTCAGAGGTAGAGATGGGGGTAAGATTGGAGTTCTAAGATCTTGGAGCAACTTCAGAATCCCCGGCCACGATTGCGCGACATTAACCTCCTACTCCCGTAGTCCTGCAGTAATGACATTAATCTTTAAAGTATATAAAAAAAATGTTCAATGGGTCTAGAACTAGTGCTCCCGCAGTCCTGCAGTAGAAAAAAAATGAATATTAAATGGGTGTAGATCTAGTGCTCCCGCAGTCCCGCACTCCTGCAGTGGAAAAAAGAACGAAGAATATACATGTATTTCTCTTTTGTTTCCTTATTTTCACCCTTTGAAGAAATTACAATTTAGTAATAGGAGGTTTAAAGGTAATGTTACACGAGCCGATTTTTAATGCTGACTTTTAACGCAACATTTCGTTGCGGCAACACGTTGCAGGTTTTTGAAAGCGATTCAAAAACTTGCAACATTGTTGTCCGAATTTTCCGAATTTTGCGTGTTGCGTTTAAAATCATCTCGTGTAACATACCGTTGCCGCAACAAAGTTGCGTTAACAGTTAGCCTGCGAGCAGGCTCTTCGCATGGCAACTGAAAGGAGAGGAAAGGGGGAGGCTGGTCAAAAGTTGTCTCATGTAACATGGATTAAAAATCGGCGTTAAAAATCGGCTCCCGTAACATCATCTCAACTCACTAGTGATACAAGGGGTTTCTAGTAACAGGACACTACTTACGTCAATAACAAAATCTTCAGGCTCGACGAAAGGTCCCTCATCAATGCTGCCAGCTATTTCCAGTTGTATGTCGGGAATCTCCTCCTGTTGAAGTGTTAATGCGTCAGGTTAAATTGTGTTTCCTGATTGATGCAGGAAGAAGAATTTACGCCAGCCTCTGTTTTGATCTTTATATCCTTCATGGTTGATCAGGAAAATAATTTGTCGAGAAGTTCCCAGGCTGTGAATATTAATTTTATGTGAAATCAGGAGTCCCATTCAAATACTGTACCTTATGACCGTATCCTGTGAGGGGAGGGATAGTGGGAATGTCATAGAAAAGTGAAAAGCTTATTCATTGGAAATTCTGAAAACCCCCAAAGAAACCTGAAGCAGTCCATTCATGGGTGTGTATAACCTGCGAGCAGGCTCACGTTGGAGCACAAGCGGGCGTGGCGTAGCCGCGAGCGCGAAATCGAGAGGCGAGGCCGCGAGACGCTTTCTGGCGCCTCTTCATCAGACGCCTTCCTGCCGAATCGCTTTGCTCTTGGCCGCTCGCGGGTGTGATTCAAAGGTGAACCTGCTCGCAGGCTAGGGTGTGTATCTCAAGTATATTCTTACACTCCTCACGGTACTAATAATTTAAAGTGATTTAGACTCCAACTGATGAGTGATACGTGGCAACAAAGAAAACTTTAAATTATTTCTTAGTTCCTGCTCATTGCGGCTTATTTGGCAAATGATCCCCAATAGTTGAAAATTTGAAATAGAAAGTTCTAAACGCCATTTTACTATAGAAAGCCCCCTATTCAAGGGTTTGCCTCAACTTGTCATTACTGGATTGCATGCGAGTATGTCATCATTTCTTTACCTTTTCACGTGGTTTCTTTAGTATTGTTGATCCAATGCATTTGTACAGGTCTCGCTTTTCTATCCGCAATAAAATGTTACGTGCCTTGAAAAGGAGACTAGCACTCATTAGTCTGACATTAGGCTAAGCAAGTCAGGATTGTTTATCTTTTCCGTTTCAGGCTTAAAAACTAATTCTCTTTAGGGGCAATCCTGCAAGGAATAAAATGAGAATGGAGACACAATCTACGTGGGGCAAAGTGTTCCATACCCTGGTTTCTGTAGTATTAAGTGGCTTGGAGTATTTCTACTCCCCTCACCTCCCTTGCATAGGATGCTAGTCCATCACAGGGTTACCTACTCACTTCCTAGTCTGGATGTAACCTTACCACTGTCAGGAGAACAATTACGTGCACGGAGACACTTCAATTTGGAGAGACATTTCTATGGTCATGCAAATAAAGCTACTGTTGTTGTTGTTGGCACACTAGGGCAGCTTTTTTTTGCTGTTTCTGCAACAAGTTCTCTTTTTACAGGATGGGGTTGTTAGCCAAGCCCAACCCCCTGAAGTCTATCCAATAGTTACTGCTCCTATTGAAATGACTGTTAACACTTGCCACTTAACACTGCTCTGAGTCGCTGGTTACCATGGTTACTCACCTCTTCCAGGGCAGGGTCGGTTGAGTGAAGGATTTGATAATATATCGCATCTGACAACTGTGAGTATGCTTCCATGTCATCAATTGTTTCAGAAATGCACAGCATTTTCCTACCACAGAAAGCAGTCACGAACAAAGAATTGAGTCTTAATGCCTACCCACTAAATTAATGGATGACCCTTTCCCTGTTTACACGTATGTAGATTGTTTTAAAGGCCAAAATACGGTATGCATACAAGCTCCAGAGATTATTGTGGTTTCTGAAGCATGACAGATACAAGATACATGTAAAGTAGCATTAGAGGTTCATTTGTAGAGTACCCATTGTACAGGTTTCTCATACCCATATATCACTAATTTTTTTGTTCTACCACAACTTCAAGATGAAGAATGTTTGTTTGGTATGGGCAGAGCCAACTTACATTTCAATGTAATTTATGTTTTTGGAAACCAAAACGACGCATTATCATTCAAGTCCGATCGATACATTTATCGGCTGAAAATCATGGAAAACGCACCTAAAACAATTTATCAAAATTTGGTTGCGTGGGGGGAATACCACCAGACTTCCCTAGCGGGATGGGGCCTTTGGCCTCATATTTGTTGGTGGACTGCCACTCACGGAATCCTGGCTAAAAGCCTGACTTTTTTTCAAGACAAACAAAATGAAGCTCACAGCTTATTAATCCAGCCACGAGTGTGAACTTACCCATGTGATCCTCTAATGCGAATTGTCCTATCAGCCTTAAGTAAAGCTTCAGTGATCCTGCAATCAGCAAAAACAGAATTGAGTGCAAGCAAGTGCTACATGTGCAATCTTAGACAATACAAGACAATACAAGCATGATTTTACACAGATGATAGAGTTACCTCAAATGCCACGTCATTTCAAAACATTTTAAACTTAGCCCATTCCCCGTAAAGTCCCGTTGGTTGAAAGGTTGCCAGTAGACAAGAAATGAAGTTTGGATGAAGAAAAAACAAAAAAAAAAACAAGAAATCTTAAGATAGGGAAAGTATGGGACAGATACATACAGGCAGCTTTCCTGAATAAATACATGTTGTATTGGGGAGCAGGGATTGCGTGGGTTGAGTTTGTTGTTGGTTCTCGCCTTGCTCCAAGGGTTTTTCTCTGGGTTCTCAGGTTTTCCTCCCTCCACAAAAACCAACGTCTCCAAATTCCAATTCAACCACGACAGAGGACCTGCATGAAGACCAGCTAGGGCTGATGGCTTCCTCTCTAAATACTTTTATTTATTTATTTATTTATTTATTTATTTATTTATTTATTTATTTATTTATTTATTTATTTATTTAATATTAAGGGTTTGCAACAGTTTTGCAGCCAGTTGTTGTGATTTGAGATGCATGGATCCTACAGATGGCAATGTCAACACAAGTGCATTACCATGTGCAAGAGATTTCCTTTCACTTACATTCTTTCAATTATATTTGATGTTTTATGCTGATAAGCTCTTCTAAACAAACTGTTTCGTGTGTGAAACATATCATAGATGTTGCCAGCTTCTTTATCTCGTACACAGATTTGTAGCTTTCCTTTGACGTTAATTACCCTTGCAAACTTCATGTAACGCCTGAGGACAAGAAAACCATAATTATTATTTCACTGTTATGAAAGAGGAAGTCATTACTAATTAAAGTATATAGGGTTAAAAAACTAATGTTCAAGTGACACAAAAAATACTTGAAAAAATTGCTTGCATGTAAAAGAATACTTGTACATACTTGTGATCAAAACTGTTACTGATTCCTAGACAGTGACAGTCACGGGAAAAGTAGTCAAACTTGTCCACATCTATTCCTGTTCTTTTGTTTGCCACAATCTGGAAAACAACAACTTGAAATTACAAGCAAATCCTACTGCAGCAGATTCAACTAAATATCTCCCATAATAGTAGAAAAATGAAAATGAAAATACTTTCCTCCTGCTACCTGCACAAAGCAGTCAAAAGGAATCCATGCATTACAATAAGGCAGTAGAACTCCATTCTTTTTTGTCAAAAATAAAATATAGGTAGTACTAGACTGTAATGCTTCAGGCCTGCATTACTTGCAAAGAATTTTGGACATAAAAATTTCCGACGTTTTATTTCAAACATTTAATTTTTGGACACTTTTTATCTCATTTCAGACAAATTTCAGACAAACAATGTGGACTTTGTTGAAATGTACCAAAAGTAAATTTGCACCAACAAAACACAAATTAGACTGAAACAACATCCGTGAAAATGATGGATTTACTGCACCCTCACTGACAAGAAAATTACACAAATTCAATCAAGCGTAATGCATCAAGCAGTGCAAGTAAATGTAAAGTTCACGCCATATAAAAAGATCATCAAAAGAGCTTTGGAGCTACTTAAAATTTTATGCTGCACTGTAAATATTTTGGAGGCTGTAAAAAATTTTAGATGTTTAAAAATTTCAAATGGTTTTGTTTTTGCACAATTTTGTGTCCGAAATTAACATTATCTGAATTTTTTTTGCAAGTACCGTAAGGCAGGCTTCATTCCTACTGCAGGCTCATTTCCCCAAACAGCAGCTGATAATCAAGCTTTTCATGATGACGAGGGAAAATATGAAATTTGAAAGAGTCCTTTTCCTTGGAATATAGGAAACAAAACCAAAAATAAAGTGATATTTTCACCTCGTACAAGTAGCTTTTGTCAGGTCCTCTTCCTTTATAAGGCCACACCTGCAAGGGATTGATAAACGATCTGAGTTCAGCATCTCTGGTGTTGAACAGCCTGAGGTTAGTGAAATACATGTACATGGCTGTCAATAGTCACAAAAGAAACTGAGAGTGAGAAAGCGTTTATTACATGACACTTTACGGGGTCAAATATTACTGTGTGACAGGTGACAAGGAACTAAAAATTGAGGGTGACAAAGGGTTCAAGTGAGACAAATGACAAGGGGAAAATTTAGTGTGTGACACAAGAAAAGCAACTAATCAATGGACCTGATTTGTGAATTTATGAAAAAACCAGATTATTACAAGCAGCTAAAAGTACATTGGAACTGTGAATTGTCAAATTTTTCATAATCTCTAGAATATTAATGCAAGCATCAGAATCACCTTTTGAAAGCTACAATGTACAAGTCAAAGGGAATTTGATTGTTTGCCCTCAAATTTGTACAGTAGCTAGAGTTTAACATATAAACAAAAAAAATGTTTCTGCAAATTTTTTATTTTGAAATAGTTTTTTCCAGGAGCAATTTTTGTATGATCACTCTACATTTTTTTTTATCCTATTTCAAAAATGTTCTGTAACTTTTACTGCAATTGAATATGGCAAAATATAGACATGTTCTTTAGCGCTTTGGGTCTGGAGGCAGAGGAACAAATTGAAACAAAATTTGCAAATTGTGGCATGGATTGTAGCTCAAATAAGTTAGCTCCTACTTATCAAAACAAACACACAAACCTTAGCACTATTTTCTTTTAATACAGCTCCAGAAATTAGCTCCTTAACGAAGGTCACATCTTTGTCAACCAAATTATACTTTGCAAAAGTTGGTAACAAGTTATTCACTTCCAACATGTGATCAAACATTCTTACTGATGCATCTTCATGCTACGCAGAAAATAATAAAAACAATGTATGATTAAGTGTCACTGACAGTAACTGAAATCAAAGAATACCTATGGCCAACTCATGGTTAAAGTAATCTAGAGATGAAACATGTTTACTTAGTGAACTTGCAATTTGTTTTTTTATTATTGATCTAGATGTACTGCTTACCTTCCAGTGACTCTCTGGTCTGGCGGTTGGTATAAACAGTGCATCGAACATGTGGGAGAATGGCCCATGACCTAAATTACATTTAACAAACACATTCATCAATTACAATGCAGGTAACACTCATTTCATTAAAAAAGGTTGACCATTACATCTTGCTTTGATACAGAGGAAAGGAGTATGAAAGGCCCATGACTGAAATAACATACTTTAATAAACACATTCATCAATCCCCTGTATTAAATGCAGTGAAATGCAATTTAACCGAGTTAACAACAAAGAGCACCTGAGTTCCAGTAGTTGTCAGCAGTTTTTAGATATGTACATGCACCAAGATTCCATGTGCCCCTCGACTGAGATGTGTCGGCAGCCTTCACAGTGATAACTTACAGTGAGCGTTGTTTTGCATGGGAGCATGTCTTCAAGCATTTCCCCTCCCTTCCCTTCCCATAAAACTTTTAAAAATACACTAAGTGACATGGACATCAGCTGATATATGTAAACTTATTTTAAAATTTTCTTCATTTACTTACCTTCCTTAAGCATAGTTTTTATCTGTACAATTTATACACATTTCTATATTCTCATGCATTCTCAGATATTTTTTAGTAGTTATATATTCTTAGTAGTTAAGTTTTTAAATCTTTATAACCAATTGTACATACATTTTTACTTTGTTACTTTGTTTTCTTGGTGCACCTGTAAACTAGCTGCCTGCATCCTTTAGACTCTGCTTATCAAGTCTATGGGACGCAACATTACCATAGCGAGGTGGGTGTTCCAAGTAAAATAAACTGTCTAATAATGTCTACAATGTATGTCTAAATTTGTTCTTCGGAGCCTTATTGAATGTTCTTAAAAACATGATTCCCTCTGGCCTTGAGTCCCATAATATTCCACTGGGGCTGTCATGTAAGCATTTCTAGTAGGGTGTACACATTTTTTGAGCCTCATCAATGTGTATGGTCCATATATGGGACCTTGCTTCTTATGGTTTTCCAGGACAATAGCATGAGGGGCCATACAGGTCATATGATAATGTTCAGTACCTAGGTCATGGCATAGCCCGGCTATCTTTACACAGAGTATGTCCTCATCTGTAATGCCCAGTTCTGGCTGCCTTTTTTGCAAGCTCTTAACAAGTCTTCCTGACAGGTGGCAGGTCCTGAAAATACAACATACAAATACAGCAACAAACTCTGGTTTAATAGAATCCATTTCTAGGAATCCTAAATTAAATTCTATCCCTGCCAATATTCCAAAACTAATGCCATCAAGTGACTGAAACTGCATGCAAAACAGGGATCATATGTACTAAAGACATCAGTGGTTGAATGTTGATTGATACCCTCAATTGACATTTCGCTTGGTACTCTATTGACATCCAGATCAATACTCGGTTGATGTTCGATCAACACTTGATCAACAGTCGGTCAATAGCTGGCCTAGTGTCGACCAACTCAAATGTGCACATCAATCAAAAATTAGTCGACTGTCGACTGAGATGATGATGGTGTGTCGATCGAAAAGAGTGAAAAGAGTGTGGATCGAGATGTCGATCGGCCTATCATTTTCTTCCCTCACAGGGCATTATAGTGGCACATGTGTACGTACTTAGTTAATAACACATTCTTAAAACCAATTGTGATATAACAAAGATTTCTAGTTGATATTGTTGTAGGTGGCGGTCACTTGTAACCATAAAATTAAAGTATTGCCAAAAAGGTATGTCACACAAAGGTCTGTGTAATGTTAAGTACATAAATAAATAGCTCACAGACATGGGAACACTACGGAGAACCGACTTACCCAATGCCATGCTCGAACCTATTGTGTGATGCGCCTGGGAATACATGGTAGCAGCCTCCTATTTTCCAGAAACAAACAAACAAAAAACCAGAATGATGCAGTATATCTGCTACACTTTCAACACGACTATACAGCATTGAATAACAAGGAGTTATTTAATATGCTGAGGTCAATTTTATGAGTTGCACAATTGTGACAAAACACATTTTACACTAGTATACCAACCTGGTGTCCAATAATGGAATATTGTACATGTTCCCCTTCAGGAATAAGGGGTTAACTGCACCAAGGTAATATCTATCCCTTTGCTTCTTTCACCTTTAGGTACCATTCAAAGGGCAATGTTTAACTATACAATCATGTATAACAAAGAATACCCACCAAGTTGTTTGATGTTCCTCAGTCGTTGATACTGCGGTGTATCAATGATTTTCACGCAGAGAGGATGTATTTCAATATGGCCATGGATACAGTCATTAAACACCTGTCAGATGATACATCAAAGATCAGATCTATCAGATATCAGATATATCAAACATCATAAACTCCATGACCTTTTTGACAGAGGCTTCATTCAAATATTTGGTTGAGAAGACTGACAGAGAATAAA